GTTCCAGTGTTGACACTAGAATAGATCCAAAGTTTTCCTCTTGTTCCAGTGTTTATATTACGCTAGGCTGGGCTAACAATGTACCTCTTGTTCTTCTCTTTATGCTAAGCTAGGCTAACTGATTGATCTGTGTAGTGTTAGGGCTGGTTGGTGCTGAGGCTCAGTGATGAAGGTGTTTCCTCTCCTCTTCCTCTGTAGTGCTGATAGAGATGCAGGATGAAGAGTTCAGACAGAAGAGCTCTCCAGGTCAGCACACAACACAAATACACACACTAACACACACATATGCAGTAAAATACACACAGTGAGCGACACACTGTCAGCTGGTTTCAGGTCCCATGATTGGTGCAGGTGGTGGGGGGTGGGGCTTCTAATGCCGCAGTCGGACTAATGTTGTTGTTGCTGCTTTTGTTGTTGTTTAGAAGCCAGCCTGCCGGGGGAAGACATGGCCGATGACAACAAGAGCTGCCACTGCGAGTTCGTCCCTCAGGACCTGACGCCGGGGTTGAAGGTCACCATCAGAGCCATCTGGTACCGGCTGCTGCTCGTCTCCACTTTACCTGCCGCCGCTCATCGCCTGATCACCCTTTATTTGCGGGTTAATCTGCACTGATTCATGCTTTTTATTCACATTCTTTTTGTTTGTTTTTGTTTTTGTTGCCCACCCCAGGGTCAAAGGTCACCATCAGCTGTGGGGTAAGAGCAGTCTGACCTCAGTCCGCCTCATTGTTTCTGTTGTTCCACTGTGTTCTGATTGTCGCCGCAGCTCCTCTGTCGTCCTCCCTGTTGTTGGTGCTGGTCCTGGTTCAGGTCTGTCTGAATCTGAAGGTTCAGTTCAGCGGGTCTGCAACAGGCCAGTCTAAAGCCCTCCGTACCAGAACTGTTAGTGTCCGTCTGGTTCTGATTCGACCTTCGTTCTGTCCTGAGGTCTGGACTCTGAAGCAGAATTTGTGGTTGACTTCAGGTTCAACTCTACACTTTCAAGACTACATCAGTAGTTCACTTCCTTTCGGTACATGACCATAGCAACAGATGCTGAACACCTCACAACGGGGCAGGTGTTCCAGGTGACAGGAGAACCACAAAGCCTGACCTCAGAGTCAGCTGATTCTTTATTTAACGAAGCAAAGCTTTACCTTCATACTATGAATGTTTACGGCGCTACAGGCCCTTCAAGGCCTAGCTCAGAGCTTCAGAAACTGTTTGACTGATGAGGTTGATGAGCAGCTCAGTGTGACGGTGGTTGTTCAGTTTGGTGGAGCCACATAACCAATCATCTGGATCAGCTGAACCTGCTTAATGCAGCAGATCTCAGAGCTTCAACTTTGATTAGAGACCAAATGTACAAACGTTGTAGCATAGAAACAGAACAAGCTGTTTGTTGGTCTCCTTGTTTGTTTTGGCGCTGGAACACATGAGAACCTCCAGAACCACCCTCCGGGTCCACTGAGTGTTGGTTCGTGTTCTCTGGTGTTTTTTCCTCCTCCAGACTGTCGGACACTAAAAGCTGCAGGTTGGTGGAAACGGTCTGTGTGTTGGTTTGTCCAAACCTGAAACAGCCCAAATGTCTTCCCCATAGCTGTGATCCCTCCCAAAGGTTCTGACCCAGTAGAGCATTCCAAGAAGGAGGTGGTTCTCCTCAGCTGAGTCCAGATTCTCCATGTCATTGTGTCCTGAGCTCACCTGAGTCCACCTGACCGCTGCTCTGTTTCCTCCCAGCATCATGCGCTTCATGGTCTCTAAGAGGAAGTTTAAGGAGAGTCTTCGTCCCTACGATGTCATGGACGTCATCGAACAATATTCAGCCGGACACCTGGACATGCTCGCTCGCATCAAGAACCTCCAGTCCAGGTAAGAACCCTGACAGGGACCAGAACCTACTGTTTTGACAGGGTTAGGTGGTGTCACTATAGATGTTGCTGTTACTTGGTATTTGTGACCCAAAACTGAGTTCTGAAAACTGTTTTGGCTGAAATTAGAGAATTTTATATATTTTCAGATCTGAGAGTTTTTCTGTTTTCTACTTTAAAAAACAAACAAACAAAAAAACAAGAACCAGTGAAACCTTTGAATGGTTCAGTATCTCCAGAAAATATGCTGACTCAGACACAACCGTTCCCATCAGCATGACTGAATGGTTCCAGCAGAGTTCTGGAAAATGGAAACAAGTGCAGCATTTTAAAACCAGGCTGGTGCTGATCCAGAAAGTTTCTGTCAGTGTCTATCCATGGATGGATCCATGGTTCTACTAGAATCCAAGCTCTGGTCACATTTCACCACCTGTTGAGGCTCTAACATCAGTAGAACCTGATGAGGTGAAGTTGGACCAGACAAGGTTCTGGTTATAGATGTTTCTGATCAACACAGTCTGACATGCTGTCTCCTGATTGGCAGGGTGGATCAGATCGTTGGCAGAGGAACACCAATCGCAGACAAAGACCGTCCTAAAACAGCCAGTGAGGAGCTCCCTGAGGACCCGAGCATGATGGGACGGCTGGGGAAGGTGGAGAAGCAGGTAAACGACGGCAACCAATGTGCTGCTAACAGATCCTGACCATCACAGCTTCCCTGTCCTGAATCTGGTTGGTTCCCTGCAGGTTCTGTCTATGGAGAGGAAGCTGGACTTCCTGGTCAACATCTACATCCAGCGAATGGGAATCCCTCAGGCTGAGACCGACGCCTACTTTGGATCCAAAGAACCCGACCCGGCACCACCATACCACAGTCCAGTGGACCAGATGGAGAAGAGCCAGTCCATCACCAAGATCATGCAGTCAGTGTCTTCTACTGGGAACCCAAAGAGCCAGCAACAGTAATGCACTAGAACTGGACCACAGCAGAACCAGACCTGGGGGGCTCAAAAAGTTCCACCAGAACAGGATCACAGAACCTGAACATAGCAAGAAACTAAAGTTATCCTGCAGCACAAGCTACCCCGGTGATCTACCTGGTTACCATGGTGATCTACCTGGTTACCGTGGCGATCAATCCCTGTTAAAGCTTTTTGATACCAGAAAACTTGAGTAAGACCCAAATAGACTCGACACCTGTCTAATCCCGGCCTAATCTGGTTCCCTGTTGCTGACCAACGACATGTTATTGATAAAATGTTGTTTACTTGTTGTTTGTGGGTTGTTTACTTGTTGTTTACACCTTGTGCAGGGTGTTGCCCGGTGACCACGTAGAGAAGACCAGGTTTGTGACGAAGATGGTCCGCTCCAGCAGCTCCACAGGACACAGGAACTACAACGCCCCCACCTGCCCGCCTTCCACCTCCTGGCAGCCAATCAGCTCCCAGCTCCACCAGCAGGCACCACCCCCTCCCCAGCATAGCCACGGTAACAGTCCGAGTCCAGTGGGGGATGGGTCGCTGGTCCGGTTGCCCCCTCCACCTGCCGGAGAGCGGCATGGCGGGAACCGGTCAAACCGACACAGCACCGGAGAACGAGGTGGGATGGACCGACCCGAGAGGACGGGGGAGGGAGCCAACGGGACCAGGGGAGGGGAGGGAGGGGGGGAGGAGGTGAAGCCTGACAGTGACGCCTCCATTTCCATCCCGTCGGTGGACCACGAGGAGCTGGAACGTTCCTTCAGCGGGTTCTCCATCTCACAGTCCAGAGAGAATCTGGATTTCCTCAACAACGGGTTCTACGCCGCCAGCAGCCGCGGCGGTGGCAGCGCCGCCCGCTGTGCCACTGTCCGACCGTACATCGCAGAGGGGGAATCGGACTCTGACTCCGAGCTCTGCGCCCCTTCACCGCACTCGGACCGGGCCTGGACCGGAACCAAGTAGAGCTGAAGGTGATTCAGAGCTGAACCAGCAGAACAGTCCAAATAATCAAAATGTGAAACCTGAAAACTGTCTCAGAGACTTTAAACACCAGCTGAAGGGTTGAAGCGAAGCATGATGGGAACTGACGGCACTCAGCAGCCGCCACGTGATTCGTCTGAATGTTCGTACAGCAAATGTTTGTCCTCACTGTCACCGATTGGTCCACTGCTGGGACACGCTCTTGCCTGATTGGTTGCTTGTTTTCATGTATGGGACACACTATGACACACTACAAACTGTTATCACTGTCACATTTGTTTATTGGGTCTAAAGCTGACACAAAGCATGATGGGAGCAACACGTATAACACGCACATCGCCATGACAACAGACGCTGTCGCTGTCACAAGCACAGATCCACCCTGAGCTTTCAGATGAATCCTGATCTCCTGCAGGTCATCCACCTGTAAGGGGGCGTGGCTTCTGTCAGCAGTTTCTATTGTTTTTCTTCTCAGATGGTGTTCGTGTTCAGAGCACATGGAAGAGAAACGCAGTGGATCCGCCCTGTGGAGAATCAGCCACATGGTTCCAACCGCAGCACTGTAATCACAGTATTTGTCAGATTGCAAGATACAAGTTTATATTCTTATATTAAATTCAGGCTCCGCAGCAGGAACTCGGTGTAACTAAAGTGAGTCCATCTTTCATGGACTTCACGCTAACTCTGGTCTGCATTGATAAGCCCTGTGCCAAGTCTGAAGCAGCTGCCTTTGTCTGGTGTTCACAGCTCCATAGTGACAGTAGTTGACTATCCGTGGAGTCATTATAGGAGGACGACCACTGCAGCCCTGATCAGTGCTGCTATGGCTCCTTCTGGACCTCCTGGTTCCTGCTCACACTGGGCTGCACTGGGTTCTAGCTGCTCACTGATCTTCTGGATCCTTTTCCATCTTTGTCCAGTCTCTCAGTCAGATGTTTCTCCTCCTCTGTTCAGGTCTTCTCCATGTGGAGCCATGATGCAGACATAGATAGAAACAGTCCATAGGTCCAGAACTGAGAAGGTTCTGCTGCTCTCAGCTCGTTGTAGAACCACGTTCATGCAGGTGGACTGATGGGAACCACAGCTGGACTCACTTTGGTTCTTTGAGGTTCTACTCTGGAGCTGAATTAGTAGTTATAGTCTTCATGAAGGATTTTGTCACAGGTCTGTCCTCGTTCTGCTGTGTTGAGTGTCTGGCTGAGCAGCAAACGACACGGCAGCGGAGGTTCAGCTCAAAGAGAAGTCAAACCAGAAGATAAAGTTATGAACAGAGCATGTAGAGAAGATCCTTCACCTTCCAATGTGAAGGTTGTTCAGTGTCTCAGGTTTAGATGATCGAACACAACATTTAACCCACCAACGGCTCCAGTCCAGAGCCCTGATCAGAACAACATTCTGCTGGATTTATTCACGTGTACGTCGCTGCAGACTAACCGAACCCCCCACGGCCCAAACTCTACCTTCAGTATCCTCATCCAAATCGGATCGAGTATTGACGGAATGAACCGGAACAAGTCCGATCCATGCAGGTCCCACCCCACAACCCACAGAACCCAAAGGATCCGCTGCCAGCGTCCTGGTTCTGTGTCCAAACTCTGATGGGTCGGAGCTGTTTTGGTGGCACAAGTTGAAGCTTCACATTCAGCAGGAACCCATCTTTTAGGAAGGCCAGGATCTTCATGTGTTCCGACAGCAAGAACCTTCCTGTAGAACCTGTTCAGGGCGGTTTTCAGGACAGAATAACGTTCCTGCTCCAGTTTGTTCTGCTCTGCTGAGAAACTGTAGGATCCCCAGTGCAGCCTGGATCCTGTGACTGGTCCTGCATATGTCAGGTGGTTTAATGCTGTGGTTGATGGGTGTATATTATGGGATGGAGGATGTGCAGAGGTCTCAGGGTGTTTCATGAATCAGACGTATTTCAGTTTGTTAGCTGGAGCTAGCAGCTGTGGCTAACAGACACAGTTTAATTCTTCCCACTTTCAGCCTCTTTCCGGAAATTGGATCAAAAAGCAAAAGACCTTCTGCATAGTTACCGTTGTTAAGGTATGACCGGACGACGCTAACGAATCAGAAACTGGTAACCATGTGACTTACACGACACGAGCAGCATGTTTCCATCCTGACTGATTAATCATCCGTATGTATATAAGATGTAATCTCACTGTTCAATATGTAATCGAGCCACAGGAACGCTGAGCGATATAACTGAAGATTTACCGTTTTCTGGCTTTGAAGGTTTCTGAATCTGTCCAGCAGGGGGCAGTCAGGAGGACCGCCGTCACTTCACCAAATCAAAACACCGATTTAACAAAAACCAGAGTCTCTTCTGCTGCCGGAGCTCTGCGACGTTTCTGACGAACTCCAAGATAAAATGACGGCTGCGTTCCAAATATTTTTTCTTTTTACAGTCCAGCTGCCCTCGTAAAGTTTGATTGATCAGCTGATCAGTTAGCTCTCTTTTGATTGGCTTCTGAAAGTGACCTGCGGCCTGTTGTCCTGCTGTCATTGGTTTGAATGTAGGAACTTCATTTGCTGTTTGTGGTTCTTGGTCCTCATTGCTTCTTTCTGTCCCGACAAAGAAAAGATAGAAACTCTTTGTTTTGTATTAAGTGTTTTTTTAGAAACTGATTTTCGATAAATTTTTGGATTTTTGTCTGTTCGACTTTAATGTTTGTTAATCTTGAGCTTAATATCAGGCAGGTGGTTTCATTCAGACTCTTTCTATGTGTTTTGGGCAGAAAAATGTCCAGGTGAATCTTCTCCTCTCGTTTCTGCAGCTCAGCCTGTTTGTACAGAACGCTGCCTGTTGACTGTATTTCAACATGAATTAAAATGTCTTTAACCACAGCAGGCACATGTTCAGAGTTTCTGTCTCACAGAACCGGTCCACGATGCGCCTGTTAATACAGAACACAACTTTATTTAAAACTCCCTCGATAAACATAAAGACCAAAGAAGAACAGCTGGTTCACAGCCAAAGAAGAACAAGAACCTGAATATTGCTGCCGTGTCAGACTCCTCATCGCCTCACTGATATTTACCTTCACTTCCTCTCTTGTCCAGCAGGTGGCAGCAGCTCCTTCCTGGTGCTGCTGCAGAGGAAACATGCTGCATGTCAGTGTTGTGGCTCAGAGGGATGATGGGATGTTTGTGTATCAAAGTCCAGCGGTGTGTGTCTGTGGCAGTGTGTGTTACGGTGTGAGTCAGGACCAACATGGAGGAGCAGAAGAAGATTCTGTGTGTCGGCCTGGTGTGTCTGGACATCATCAACGTGGTCGACAAGTATCCTGAAGAAGACACTGACAGCAGGTTAGCTCTCAGGCTAATGCTAACACAGGCTAACATCCACACTGACTGCAGGTTAGCTCTCAGGCTAATGCTAGCAGAGGCTAATATCAACACTGA